TTTTAAATCTTTGAACAGTAATATTTCAGAATTTTTTCTCAAGGTGTCTGAAACTTCTACACTTTTCTGTTTTTAGTTGCTTCAAGTTTGTCAGAATTAAAGAAAATTTAAATCTTAAAATTTGGATTTGTTTTTGAATTTGATTCTCAAAAATTGCGTTGGGGTTTTCTTCGATAACACGCTTCAGATTTTTTCTCGGTTTTATTTAATCAATTACTTAAATGTAGTTTAAACAATTTTTTTTAATTTCTCTGTTGCAAATTTAGAGAATTTTCAAACAGTTGGAAAAATAATGTTTCATTAAGTTTTAATATTTCAAATTTCAAACTTTTGAATTTAATAAAACTAAAGCTAACTTTTGATTGAATGAATGTCTGCACACTTTGATTAATTTTTTTTTAGATTTTAAATCCAAAGACCTAAAAAAACTGACCAAAAACTACGAAAAAAAAAAGTTTTTTAGTTTACAATGTTTGCATTCTTAATAAAAAGAGAAAAATCTAGATTATAATACAGATAAAAATTAGCAAATTATTGAGATTTCAGTATTTTGGTTTTCTAGTTTTTCAAAAATTCTTCAAATTTTTAAAATCGTTGTAAATCTAAAGTGAAAGTCCTTTTTTTGTCAAGATTTGAAAAAAAAACATCAAAATTTCTGATCAATTAACTAAATTCTGGGCCTGAAACTTTTAGAAGTTATAAAACAGCAAAGAATTTCAAAATTTTATTCTGTTTGATCTCAAAAATTGAAAGTTTAAACCCCAAGACATCAAATCTTAAAATTTTTTGAATCTTTGAACAATCATAGTTGAGAATCTCTTCTATAAAAGTGGCTAAAACTCCCTCATTTTTCTGTTTTTGGTTGTTCAAATATGTCAAAATAAGAGAAATTTAAAATCTTGAAATTTAGAAATTTTTATATTTGATTCTTAAAAGAAAAAGAAATAATTGCGTTAGGGTTGTAGTTTGTAGTTTAAACACATTTTTAAAATTTTTCTATTGCAAATTTTAGAGAATTCTCAAACAGTTGGAAAAAAAATGTTTCATTAAGTTTTGGTATTTCAAATTTCAAACTTTTGAAGAGAAATATGAAAGAAAAACCAATTCTAAGGTTTGTAGAAATAAAGTAATTTTTTTTTTTGAGATAAGACTTGAGTTTCATAATTTTGGAAAAAATTCGAAAATAATTTAAATATAACTCACAAACGTGCAAAATCTAAGAAAAAATTTGTTTTCTGATTTTCATTCTTATTAAAAAGCCAAGGTTAGAAAGAAAGTGAGAAATTTGTTAAAATAAACTGAAAAAAGTTGTAGAAACTCATGTTTAAGTTTTTTTAATAAAGAAAAAATTTATAGATTATTTAAGAAGAAGAGAGTTTTTAAAGTTTGTTTTGAGATTGAAAAAATTTCATTTCATAAATTTCGGTGGTTTGACGATTCTATTCTACCAAAATTGCGAGGATTTTAATTTTCGAAATACTAAGTTCACTAAATTTTGACACCTAATTTCCAAGATTTTAATTTCAATTAAATTTTAAATTTCTTTGATTGGATGTGTGCACATTATAATTTAATTTTTCTTCTTAAAGTTTAAATCCTAAGAAAGACTCATAATTTTGAAAAAAAATTCGAAAATAAAAAATTTATTACGAGCTAAATCACAATAATTTCGCTACATTTTGTTTAATTTAAAACTCTGATGGATGGTAAAAAACAAAAACAAAAAAGTGAAGGAGTTTCAGACACTTTTTGAAGAGATTCTTAACTATAATTGTTCAAAGATTCTAAAAATTGCAAAATCTTAGAATTTGAAGATTTCACAAAACCAAAATTTGAAGATTTAGAAATTCGATAATTTTGGTACGTCTAAAAGTTAAGATCTCTAATATTTTTCCCATAGCAAAATGTAGATCTTGATGTTTCAACTAAGAATTGAAAAAGTAACAATTTTGAAACTAAAACTGAAAAAAAACTGAAAATCTAAAAGTCTAAATTTTGAGAACGTGAACAAGATTTCAAGTTTTTTCCCCAAATTTAGTCCTGGGATAATAAATATTTGAAAATAATTCCAGTCAGTAAATGTTTACAGGGTCCCACCGCCTCGTTTCATAAATTTCGATCATTTTTCGTCCTGGATCAATGTCTGCATTGTGAGAAAATGCTAAATCACAATAATTAACCCTTTTTTTATAAATAAAAATAAAAACCACAAGAATTTAGCCGGTTAAATGAAACCGAAGTAAACTTGACATTTTAATGAGAATTTTGTTTTCTGGCAATTTAACTCAAAAAACTGCCAGAAAAAATTACTCGGATTCGAAATTTTTTCAGAAGCAGTTTTTTTCGTTAAATTGCCTAAAGGAAACAAAATTCGAATTAAAAATGTCAAGTTTTCTTCGTAAAAAAACCAGCTTGAGTAAAAACTGAAAAAGTAACAATTTTGAAACTATAACTGAAGGAGAATTTAGAACATGCATCATCTTCGAGCAAAAAGTCAAAATTTTGACAACATGTAGTCCGGTCAAATTAGTCATAAAAATAGTGGTC